AAGCATTTGACTGCTAACCAGAAGGCTGGCGGTTCAAACCCACCAGCCACTCCTCAGAAGGAAGGTTGGGCAATCTACTTCCATAGTGATACCACCTCGGAAACCCAAGGAGGGGTTGCTATGAGTCGGGTCCAACTAGAGGTCACATAACAACAACAACGATGGTGTTTCTTAGACTTAGTTTTCTAGATGAGCTCAGAGCTGGAGGATCTTAGAAGGTAGATCACTTGCTATTTGTGGTTTTCATATATTGATGCCCTAAAGAAGAAGGAAGTAGAAGTCCCAGCAAGCTAATCATGATGCCAGTGACTCCTCCAAGTCCATCACCTCAAGAGGAGCTGTCAAAAATAAGAAATTACATATTTTTAGGTCACAGGGTTACCCTGTATCAGGCTCCCTTAGTTTGATTAGCAGTTGTTTTTCCTCTTTGTGTCTTTCTTCATCTCCATTTTCTTCTTGTTTCCATTTTCTTCTTCTTGCCCCTCTCATCAATAAAAGTCACTGCTTTAAGGAAACTGCTTCTCTGAGAAGAATTTAACAGTATATTCATATAATCACGTTGTCTTGTTCAGTAGCAGGTGGTATCACCTATCAACAGCGTTTGGGGCATGGCAAGCAGCTGCCACCCAACTCAGCTGAGCTACTTACTCCCTGGCTTCTGAGTACACAAAGTGACAAAAGAAGAGAGACCTTTGGAGGCCTCAAAATCTCATTTTCATTCCCCTTATGGAGAAGAAACTGACTTTATTGACAAAGACGACTGAAAATTGCCTGAGCGTTCCAACAACCAGTCTGTGTTGAAGCAGAGACAGTCTGGCGGAGGCAAGCACCCTGCTCCATCACATAGCTCCAATGAGCCACGTTTGCTGCGGCACAAGTCTGTGGCATGTGCAGACCAGACTGAAAGGAGCCTCCTGTCGTCCTCAAAAGCAGCCCCTCTTCACCTCCACTCCCAACCTGCTGCTGTGTTTCCTGGATCCCAACTATAAATCAACATGAATTCAGGGAATCTCTGCCAGAAACCAAAGTCTGACTGATTCAGGGGCCCAGGGTCAGGCCCGGGTTAGCTGGACAAGGCAAATGCCCACTTCCCAATGGAGTGCTCCATGGCTTGACTGCACATTGCAAGCAAGCCACTAGATGTCACCATCACTGATTCCTGTCCTTATTCCCAGGCTGGGGTGTAACACAGAGCACCAGAGGCTAGAACTCAGACAGAATTCCATCAGAGCCTTGCTTGCAGGTCTGCCTTACTTGCTAGGACAGTCTGGGCTCTTCTAAAGCGGTTAGCACCACAGACCCAAACAGCTGAGCTGAAAGTTGAACAAGGCCAACGTCAGCTAGAGCAAATGCCAGCTCTCACAATCGGGCACTCATGCTCTTTCTCCTCTTGTTCCTAGTCACAGTCATTTGTACATCCTTCTGGTTTAGTTGGGCTCTTGATAGGAAATAAATTAATATCGTGTGCTTCATAGCTTCAGGGATTTCAGATGTTGATGTGCTGCTGAAATAATGTAGGTCTTTGGCTTTTAGCATAGCATGAATGGCAGACAGAATTTATGGTGATGCTTGAGTTCTGGACTATAATTATGAAGTATTTCTAAGCGTATATTCAGGATGCAAAGTGTAAGGACCCCAGAGCTAATGTTAATTTATTACTGACAGCTGTATATATATAGTAATATATCATGTCTTTTCATCTTGCATTCCTTCTTGACTTACATCAAGACATCTTTTCATTCATTAATAAAATCAAGCCTTGCCATTATTCTTAATGACTAAATCCCATTTTGAACCTGGAGGACACCTATAATTAAACTTCCATATACCACACATCTGAAGCTCAAAGAAGGATAAATTGAACTTCCTGTTTTACAAGCAAGGTGAAAACATCAGAAAGATGGAGTCCACCTGCCACAGTTCCTTGGAAGCTAAACAGCAAAGTCAGGTAAATTCTCGAGTTTATCTTCTTAGCTCACACCGCCACATCCCTTTGCTTTTGTGCCCTCCTTTCTGCTCTTTCATAATCTTTCCTTTTTTTTTTTTTTTGAGATGATATATTCAAAATATGTCTTTTAAAGGTCATGCTAAAAATCAGAACTAAAAGAAATGCAGGCTAACATGTCACCTCATTTTCTATGCTCTGCCAAAGACTTATATGATTAATCCCTTTAAAAGAAGTCTCATCTAATCTTATTACACAAAAGACAAGGTGTCCTTCAAATATATCATTGCTAGAAACAGGTTGGTCTTTTCCTCTAGTGTCAACTGGTTTGGCGTCTCATTCATCTTACAACTAGTCATCACCATGGCAGTTTACGCACTGCACTGCCCTAGTGGTCTCAAAATTTAAACAGTGCTCTGGTTTAAGTTGTAAAGCACTATGTATTCTCAGACTCCCTGGTCACTTTAGAAGATCTAGAGCCACCATGCTCATAGAAGTGAAATTTTTAACCTCAATGACTAATTAATTATCCCAAAGTAGAATAATACGGTGTGTGGAGATAGAGATTCAACTATGTGGGTTATCTCCCATCTGGAGACAGAATCCGATTCCATTGAGTAGATGCTAGATTACTGAGTTAGCAAGTTTCCTATCTATAACACTAAATCTTACTATGATTGGTTAATTAAATCATGATAAATAACATTCCAAGGCAAGTGGAAGGTGCTTAAAAGAGTTTAGATGAGATATCCACAAGTTTAATAGAACTAAACTTCTGAATGTCTTTGCATTCCTCAAACTTAAAAATGTTTACAATAATTTTCTGGAGAGCTCTCTCACATGAAAGAGAAATATAAGGTTTTGCTCCACTGGCTTTTTGAAATTGTCCACATTTTTCTTTTAGATTCCTATATCTTATACCCTCTGTCTTCAGAAATGAATGCCCCAATTCTTTAATTAAGGATCTCTGTTGGCATGGTAGTTAAATGCTTGGCTGCTAACCAAAAGGTTGGTGGTTCAAACCCATCCAGCAGCCCCTCAAGTGAAAGACTTGACATCTGCTCCCATAAAGATCACAGCCCAGAAAACCCTATGGGGCAGCTCTACTATATGGAGTTGCCATGACTCAAAACCAACTCCACAGCACCTAAAAACAATTGTTTAATTAACATTCCTTTTTGTCCATAATGGTTTATTCCTATTGGTTCTGCCTCTTCCAGTCCTTCAGTGTAGAGGAGTTTTAGTCAGAAGTGGCTATGTCACATCAGCAGTTAAAAAAAAAAAAGGTCCCAAACCTCAGTAACTTGCTCACCCTACGTGTCTATTATGCATAGGTGGGAGCTCAACTCATCATTGCTACTCTAAGACATAGGTTGACAAGGGAGCCAAAATTTCAAACATTGCCAGTCATCGAGCCAGGGGGAAAAGAGTACTCTGTAATGAAAAGCTCCAGTATGAAGATGAAACCTCTCACTTTCACAAGAAGTTCACTAGCCATCACCACTCTGTCACAGGCCCTGCCCTCTAGCCACAAGGGGGCCAGGAAAAGCATCTTACCAGGTGCTGGAAGAGTAAAACCACAAATAGCTTGTGAATACCACTAATGACTACCACAGACGTACACAAATAGACTTGGGCTCCTTCACTTGTTTTGGAATTTCCTTATTTTCACTAGATTATATTTTCTCTGCTTTGTTCTTGCACTCTACCTGGAGCAAATTATTCTCTGATTTCTGTTCTGTTCACTTGCACATTCAAGGGCATTATAATTAAGACATTACTTAAAAAAAAAGAAAAGCCTCTCTTCAGAAAGTCATGAACTAAGATTGTTTGGGTTGGTAGTTAAAGGAGAGTAAAAGAAATTTGCACATTGTTGATTCTCCTTTTCGTGTACTTCTAGTTTTGCTTGATTTTCTATATCCACCCTTCCATGCTAGACCCCTGCTGAATTTTACTTTTATTGAAAAAAAAATTACTCAACTCTTTCTTTTTTTATAACTTTTTAGCTATCTGGTTCAATTGGCAAAAGATTCTATAAAATAGCCTAACTTCACTGGTTTCCCAATCCCCACATTCAGGTGAATTCATATCCTGAGATACAATAAAGAGAGTAACAATGAATTGATTTTGTTGGATCTTCCTCCTACTTGAAAAGTGAGAGCTCAGCCTGCTGCAAAGGCCTCTCAGTCTGTATCTGGAAGTTTTCAAGAGGTATCTCACAAGTGCAGTCCATTTCTGTGACTAGATTCTTCAGTTTTATTCCCTTTCTCCTATTCCTGGCCCACCTACTGAGTACAGATCCAAGCATCCTGTTGTGCAGTTCCTCATTTGGCAAAATGGTGCTGAATTCTTGGCGAGTTGGGTGCAATGCCTCAATCTCTTTGTATCGCGTCATCGGGCAACCCGAACAGGGCTGGTTATACTCTGACATGTATTTCATGAAATAGATGTAAATGACAAACACTGTGTTTCCCTTAGAGAACAGGTTGTGTTATTGGGTCAGGCTACCAAGTCTGGCCCTACAACCCCTAGAGTAATTCTTTCCCTGAAAATCCTCAAGTCTCTCAAGCAAACACATTTCCCTGGGCCAGCTCTATACCTCATCAAGCATAACAGCAGTCATCCAACAGTGAACATAGCTAGGACCTCTATATGTTAGCTAAGAATACAACAGAAAGTATATCCCAACCCAAAGAAGTAGATTCCAGCTTTAACACAAATTCCGAAGTACAGAGTTGAAAAGAATATTAGTGCCCATAATTGAAAGCCATTTGGGGGTAAGAGTGATAAATCTAGCCCACAGCAGACGTAGGCGATGTGGGGAGACTCCAAAATGAATACACACTGACTTCTAGGCATAGACCACCATTGACAGGGCCAAGCCGGAGCCATGAGGGCCCGGTAAGCAACATCCGAACCCCACTCAAAAGGCCCGGAACTGGAACTCGATTGCACTGGGAACGCCCACTCCAGCGCCCGTGACGCCCGTGGGCGGGGCATGGATATCGCCCCACCCCCGCCGCCCGCCACTTGGGCCACCTGACCTGCCCGCGGCTCATGTGATCTGTACTCAGCGCCGCCATTTTGGAGCTCCGGGTGAGGAGGGGGAAAACGGGGGATACGAGGGAAAAGACCTGGGAGAGAGGTGGGCGAGGACGAGGGCAAGGGCACGGCCGGGCTCCTGGCCGGCCAAAGGAGGCTCGCGGAAGCAGCAGCCGCCGCCCGACCGCAGGTACCGCGTCCCGGGGCCTCCCCTTAGCCCGCTGTTAGCGCCGCCGCAGGCCATGTGCATTTTCACCTCAGGCCTCTGCTGGCGCCCGCTTCCTCCTCATTCGGCCGACACCGCCCGGTGCTCGCCCAAAGCCCCAAGTTCTGTGATCCCTTTCACTTCTCTGAGCCGACCACAGCAAGGCCTTTGGAGCCCCTCGCTGAGACCCCCGGACCCGCCCTGCTCCTGGGGGTGGGAGAGGAACCTACGGTTCCCTGCAGACTGTCATCAGCTCTGTCTGTATGCAGGCCCGCCTGCAGCATTTCTTCCTTCCTCTCTGCAGAAACCGCCTAGACCAGTCGGGACGGAGTTAACCCCCATCACCCCAGCCTTTTAGTCACTGGTTAGTAAAGAAAAAAAGGTGGTGTAGAAAAGCAATCCCAGAGTTCTGCACGTTCTCCCATCCTGTTCAGTGCATTCCTCGGAGATCACTGAGATCTTTGAGAAAAAGTTCCTACCTTTTAAGACCTGGGGGCATCCGGCGTGAATGGTTTGCATGAAAGGCCTTGATGATTAATTAGGCGGAGGCCACAATCCCAGCTGTAATTTGCTCTCAGTCTGCAACACTTATCAGGCAGGCACTGGATTTATCACCTCCTTGAATTTGTACTTTCTTCGCTACTCTACTCTGACTGACTCAGTGTGTGGGTTGCACTCTTGATTGAAAGAGAAAGTCTGAGCCTTTCTTTGGTTTACCTCTACTACTTGTCAGTTAAAGGCGTGATTTTCTGCAGTGAACTGTTTATAGTTACTTAACCAACAGTGAGATAGTTGCATTCTAGGTGAGACAAGTAAGCATTCTTTGATCTTTCAGATTCATTCTAGCTAGTACGAGAAATAGCAGCAAAGAAATATAGGACCAGCGCAGTTTGCGTTAGAAGATACATAGATCAAACTGCTGGCTCCTGTCTTTTCATGCTATCATTTCTGCCCACTGTGACTGTTTAAAGTTGCAGAAAGATTAAAATAGTGATAGGCAGTTTATTGTGTATTACCCATTACAGAATGATGTCAATATAACTAGTAGCATTTTGAGTCAATTAAGTAAGTTTAGAGCTAAAACATAAAATGCACAGTAACTGCAGTTTCCAGAGCAGTTTTTTTCTAATTTCTGCAAACTCCTCGTCTACTCATTAGATAAATTTTGTAAATTTGCATCACATACTTGGGTTGCATGAACATTCCTGTAAATTTCCTTTTGACATGGAATATTGGGAAATGTTCATTACCAAAAAAATCATCATTTTTTTGTAAAAACATTACAGGAAAGAAATATTTGATACTATATACTTTTATTCTTGGCCACAGCTGGATTTTGAAGATTGATCCAAGGGACTGTATTAATTGCAGGAATTGATTTGCTGGCTCTGCCACTTAACAGCCATGTAACCTTGGGTAAGTCGCTTAACTGCACCGAGTATTTCATTATTTGTAAAATTGTGTAAGTCCCAAAGAGTTGTAGGACTCAAAGACATTAACATTTTTGAGACAACCTAGCTGTAAGGGCCTGTTTTTTTTTTCACTATCAATATTTTATACAGTTAGCTCTCACTGAGAAGTAAGAGGAAATTTGATATACTGTAGAATGCATGGATTTAAAATCAGATAGACCTAAACCAAAAAAAAAGAAAAGAAAGGAAAAAGAAAAAACCACCTCACTGCCATTGAGTCAGTTCTGACACATAGTGACCCCTCCTTGGCTTTTCGAGGCAGTATCTCTACAGAAGTAGTTTGCCTACTCTTCCTTCCAAAGAGTGGCTGGTGGATTTGAATCGCCGGCCTTCTGGTTAGGAGTCAGATGCCTTAGGCACTACACTACCAGAGCTCCCCAGTTAGGCCTGGATTCCAGTTATACTTGCACCAATTACTACTTTACATCTCTGAGCCTCAAGTTCCTAATCTGTAAAAAAGAAGCTAGTATCGCCAGGAATTATATGAGTGCACACAAAATAGACATAAGCACTACTCCCAGTGTGAGCACCTCAGGGGCATGGACTCCCTCTTAAGCTTTTGCATAGTCTCCAACACTATGCTTGGCACATTAGAATTGTTCAATAAATGTTAGTTATATCTGAATATTGGTTAACTTTAGTTAGACCTTATGTCTTAATCACAGCTGCCAAATAAGTATACTCTCTCAGGCTAGGTGCCAGCTAAGAAATTTTAGACTCTGAAATTCATATAGTTAAGATATTTATACTCATTTTTTCCTTAGCAGCAATTAATAATTGCAATGAACTAAAAGAAAAAAAACAAAAAACACCACCACTATAAAGTTAGTTTTGACTCATAGGGGGGACCCCATAAGACAAAGTAGAACTGCCCGTAGTTTCCAAGGGTAAATTTCCTTGGAAGGGTTCCAAGGCTATAAATCTTTATGGAAGCAAACTGCCGCATTTTTTTGTGGAGCAGCTGATGGGTTTGAATCACTGACCTTTTGCTTGGCAGCTGAGGGCTTTAACCACTGTACCACCAGGGCCCCTTGCATTTAAGGAGGGGGATTTTAATTCAGATAAATTGTAGCTGACATTAAAAAGGTAAATCTATAATGGGTAAGCAGTTAGACAATTTGTTTCTGAGTAATTTTTTATAGACAGTTTATAATTCAGGGAACTGAAAGTTCATCTAGGTTCAACCCTCTCATTTTATGTCTAAGAATCTAAAACCCACAGAGATAGTGACTTGCCCAAGGTCACACATCTAACTGAGGGCACTCTAGGGGAGGAACCCATGATTTTGTATCTCCTACTAATGATGGTGTAGTGATTAAGGCATTTGGCTGCTGAACCAAAAGGTCCACGGTTCAAATCCAAATCCAAATCCATCAACTGCTCCATGGGAAAAAGATGAGGCAGTCTGCTTCTGTAAAGATCTACAGCTGTGAAATCCTTGTGGGGCTATTATCTATCTTAAAGGATTGCTGTGAATTGGAATCAACTCAGTGGCAGTGGGTTTGGGGTTTCCCTTCTTTTGGCTAGGGAAAAAAATAATTCTTTCATGTTTCTAAATTATGATAACCTGGAAGAATGGGGAGTCAGACTCCTATAGCCCATTTTTTTTCCCTAGTTAGAAGAGAACAAATTCTTACTCTGAAAGAGACAGTTCTTTATATCATGTTGAACTGTCTTTGTATGTACATAGAAAATTACGGCCTTTTTTCCAGTCCCATCCCAGCCCACATGAGATGTTAATTTGATTTTACTGATGGTAACCACGCTGCTGTAACTGAAAGCAACTAATTCGATACACAGATAAACCAAAGAGCAAATTATAAGGAAGTAAAGACAACTGAAATAATTTGGCTCTTAACTTTTCTTGGGAAAGGCATTAATTATGAACTTTTGCACATGAAATATCATTGTTGAGGAAAGGTTTGAGAGACTCAGTGAAAAAAGTGGTAGAATACTTTTAGTTTGGGTTATAACTTTTATTTGTTTTAAACAGTGTGATATAGTTGGACTCATAGCAACCCCTCCTTGGGTTTCTGAGGCGATATCACTATGGAAGTAGATTGCTCAGTCTTCCTTCTGAGGAGTGGCTGGTGGATTTGAACTGCCAGTCTTCTGGTCAGATGTCTTAGGCACTATGCCACCAGAGCTTCCAAACGTTAGTTTATGTCTTAAGAATCCCAGACAAGAAATTCCCAGTATTGCTGATTCTGTTCTTGTCTTTTATCTACCTAATGAACCTTCCTATTCAGCCATATTGATCTTTTCACTAACCCCTATCTTACTCTCTTTTCTGGAAACAGACTAGTGCTATGGCTGCCTTCCTTGTCAATCTTAACCCACTGTATCAACACAATTCTAAGGAAAGAAAGAATGCATTCAAGTAAGAATAATTCAAGGACGGTATATTTACCAAAAAAAAAAAAAAAACCTCACTGCTGACGAGTTGGATCCAACTCACAGCGACCTCTCCTTGGGTTTCTGAGGTGGTATCACTACCAAAGTAGATTGTCCAACCTTTCTTCCGAATAGTGGCTGGTGGGTTTGAACCTCCAGTCTTCTTGTTAGCAGTCAAATGCCTTAGGCACTACACTGCCAGAGCTCCAAGATACTAATAATAAGGGAACCACAGCGGGTAATGTAGTTATTTAGAGCTAGCAGCATCAGGAGAATGGAGAGGTACCAGGACCAAAAGGAAAATTTTAGAGCAACCTACCTAGATAGAAGTGGCCCTCTGTTAAGGGACACAGCCAGACCAAGGTAACCTAGAGGGACCTTGAAACCTGAACCCACTTGAAAGGGTCCCAAGAGGGTGAATGTCGTGTTCTCACTCTGCTACCTTCATTTTATTTCCTGCCTTGGCTCATCATTGGCAGAACTCAACAAGAAACCAGAGGGTTTGGGAGCCTAATGATATAATCTTTCTGGGACAGAGAACAGAATGAAGAAGAGGACACAGTAAGGCTAGAGGGGCATGCCCATCCTTTGTGATCCACTGCACATCTTAACCCTTCAGGAAATCTGCTTACTTACTAGCCCAAAAGGAGCTCTTCATTCTGTATTAGGATTTGGCAGTTGACCATTGTCTTGTGACTATTTTACTTTGTGGCCTATTGCATTGCTTAAGAACTGTTACTTAATTTTTTTTTTTTTTTAAATATATTTGTCTTATCCACTCAGCCTAGTTTTAAACTATATGTACTGTCAATTTTCAGTTTTTTTCTGGTGCTTAGCATGGTGCCTTCCTTGCATGTAACAATTTTTTGGTAACCTTTTGTTATGAAAAATGGTGAATAGTACAGTGAACTCCTAGGTACTCCTTACTCAACTTTAGTTAGAAGACTTGCCATTCTTACTTTATCTGCCTCCATTTCCTCTACCTCCCATCATGGTAATTTTTTTAAAGTTGTGTTTACACTGACTGATCTCTTAGAGCCTCAGGATAGTTATAATCCATGTTGTAGTCATTATTGAGCTACTGAGATTATCTTTGTACTCCATGTTTTCATCTCTTTTATTATTAATATAAATTTTCCTTCACTTGATATGCAATCCCTTATGTATATACCTGCAGTAGTGGTCTCAGTGAGATTTTGGGGAATATTTGAAGAACTAGCCTTGAGGTAACTTCCTCTCTGTGTAAACTTATATTATGAGAGCTTTTTAAGCTGTTTCTCTAACCTTTTTTTTTTAAATAAAAAAAAAGCAGACTTTTGTTTTAATGAGATTTAACTTATGCATTGATTCTGTATGTGGACACAAACTGTTTTCTCAGGTGTTTCTTGATGTATTTTTTGTTGTCAGTATCTGTTTTATAGCTGCCATTTCTGTACTTATCGCCAAATGTATGCATCCTCTAAAATGAGGTACTTACATAAATGTTCAGGGAAAATTGGAGCATCTGCTGCAAATTTCCATTCGCTCTTAATGCCTGAGCAGACACAGCTTTAAAAATCTTAACATTTTGTCAGATTCTTTTGTACTAGTCTTTTTCTTGAGATAAGATGAACTCCTCCTCCTCTTCATTTCACGTTTTTAAGGTTTATACTGAAATATTCAAAGGGAACAATTTGTATTGTTCTGTCTCCCTTTTGTTATATCAGTAACTAGAAGAGGGATAATGTAAGTCACCTTTGTAAGCCGGTAAGTATACAAAGCATGTTATACAAACATACCTTTTCAACCTCCAGATTATCAAGCTGTGTGGACTTCACATTTCATGAGGAAAGAGACTTTAGGTCCACAGTAGACTGTCATGTCATGCAAAGAAGTTAGCTATTCAGGGATCCTTGCTATTAAACTTATTTTTAAAACTAATTTGCATTTAATAGTAGAACTCAAAGGAATAAAATATAAGCCTTAAGTGAATGACCTGAAGGAAAATCAATAGTCACATGAAGGATGAAGGGCCACAGTGTCCCATGGTCTGAAAATGTGGACTTAACAAAGTCATAGAAGAGTTTTTCTGAAGAAAAAAATTGTTCCTCCAGTGGTCTTGTCTTTAGTGAGGTAAGGCTGAGTTTAAAGATCCCAGACTACTTTTGTTTTTTCTACTTGAGATGTGTTGCTGTTGTTAGGTGCGATTGAATTGGCTCAGACCTATTGTGACCCCACGTACAACAGAACGACATACTGCCCCATCCTCACAGTCGTCACAACCAATGTGTCAATCCATCTTGCTGAAGGTCTTCCCCTTTTTTTGCTGACCCTCTTACTAAGCATGATATCCTTTTCCATGATTCCATGAATCATGGACTGATTCCTTCTGTCAACATCACTAAAGTACATGAGACAAAGTCTGGCCATTCTCGCTTCTAAGGAGAATTTTGGCTGTACTTTTTCCAAGACAGATTTGTTTGTTCTTCTGGAAGTCCATGGTATTTTCAATATTCTTTGCCAACACCTATTTGAGATAGGTGTAAGCAGTTAGTCTTTTGAGATATAGTGCCCTCAGATTATTTATGCGAGAAGGGTGGCTGAAGGTCTTTTGGGGGTGGGTGGGTCCTTTGGAAGCTAGGATAGCTGTCATTGCATAATGGGTGTGGAATGTACATCTAGAATAGAGACAGTTTTTAGAGGCAATTGGTGGAAAAAAGCTGATCTCTCTAATCCATAGAGCAGAGTTTGGAATGAGGAGGCTAGGGAGCTCAGTTGCTTTCCAGTTGATTCTGACCCATGGAGACCACATGTGTTATAGAGTAGAACAGCTCCACAGGGCTTTCTTGAGCCTTGGTGGCGCAGCAGTTAAGTGTTCAGCTGCTTACTGAAAGATTGGTGGTTCACACGCACCCAGCAGGCTCTGGTGATTTGCTCCTATAGCAATTATAACCTAGAGAACCCTATGGGGCAGGTCTAGTCACAGGGATTCACTACAACTGGAAATCAACATTGGACAGCACCAAACACCAATCTTTATAGAAACAGATTACCAGGCCTCTTCCATGGCAACACTGGGTGGGTTTGAAACACTAACCTTTTGGTTAGTAGCTGACAGCAAACCATTTGTGCCAACCTCAGAAAGAGGGAAGAAGTCATATTAAAGAATCAGAAAGTAAAATGTTTGCATCCTTGCCTGATATGGACTTAGATATAGAAAGCTGATTATGTGAGAAGGAGTAGAAAATAAGAGAGGAGAAGCCAAAATTGCCGCCAAGACTTGATGTGAGGGAATCGGCACTGATGCTGGGTAGAACCCTAGTGGGGTCTGGCAGGAAGGTTCAAATCCTGGCACAATCTGAAGGGTCTTCATTTGTTATTTTGGCAATCTGGGGAAGAGGAGCCATGATTCACTCCCTAAAATAATTCAGAACCTGTGACTAAAGTTTAAGAATAGTATGGGTCTTTGATCTATAACGAGTGCCATTAAAATTTGTTAGTATTTATTGAATGTTGTGAATAAGATTCCAGAATGCACCTAAAATGTAGAAAAACAAAACTTGTTGCTGGAAAAAAGCCTAAACTGAAAAATGTAATCCAAGTCAACAAATTAATCTCACTTTATGCCAAAGGAAATGTTTGAAGGGAAAGTACTGCCAGGAAATAGAGAGTATTCAAGACTTGGACTGCAAGATTTACGAGTATTTTATGTTTAGTTACTTCCTTGGCCATAAGGCATGATTAAAACCTACAGATAACCCCTTATAAGGATTCTGTTCATATCTGGACCAGAAACGTGACTAGAATATCAGTTTTTCCTTCCCCTATCCCTTTCAGTGAAAGTAAAATACATATGGGTGTGAGTAATAGTTGACCACTAATATGCCCTCTAGAAAAAACCACAGCATAGTTTGTGGTTTATCTTCTGGAAGATAAAGGAAGTAAAATAAGGAACTAGATCTCTGCTTTTATTTATTTATTTCATTTGTGGCATACTTGTCAAAATTCACTATGCCCTCTACAGTAAATTACATGATTCAGTTTCCACAATTGCAAAGATTTGAGGAGGGAAAAAACACAAAGTTTTGGTTTTATTAGTAAAACCACCAATTATATATGGTGTAGGAAGTAGTTTCCCAAGAATTGTATCAGTCATTCATTGGCTTTATAGGGTGATATTTTACAGTACTTTGAGATTGTTCCACATGCCTTGAGAATGGCTCTGTTCCTTTGGTTAGGGAATAGGAGTCATCTTTTTGGAATTTTACAAAAGGAAAGGAGTATTGATTGGGTCTAATTGGATGTTGAGGGGTAGGAAAGTAAAGAGAAAAGAAGATGCATATTGTTTTAATCATTTCCAAATACATATATGAAGGATGGAAAGATTTTCATTACCAGTTTGACAGAAGATAATATTGCAAAGAGAAATTCTAAATAATTTAGGTCTATATTGAGGATAGCCAGGTACATTGATATGCAGCTCCCAGCTTAGGAGATACTTAGATTAGTTTAGATACTAAATTTGGCTTAGATTTCCTGAATTACATAGCTGTGATTATCCCGTGGCTTCCTGGGGTATTGCAAACAGTTAAGTGCTCAACTACTAGCCAAAATGTTGGCAGTTTGAGCCCACCCAGGTGTGCCTCGGAAGACAGGCCTGATCTGCTTCTGCAAGGTCACAGCCTTGAAAGCACCGTAGAGCAATTCTGTTCTGCACACATGGGGTGGCCATCAGTCAGAACAATGTGATGGCAGATAATGACATCTGTTATTCTGGTAGCATAGTGGCTAAGACGCTTGCCTGCTAACCAGACAGCTGGCGGTTCAAACCCACCAGTCACTCCTCGGAAGGAAGGTTGGGCAATCCTACTTCCGTAGTGATACTGCCTCGGAAACCCAAGGAGGGGTCGCTATGAGTCGGGTTTGACTCGAGGGCACATAACAACAACAACAACATTCTATAACCTGATATTTCTCTCTGTTGTCTATTATCCTTTTTTAGATATGGAAGAAAGCAGCAGTGTTGCCTTGTTGGTACCAGATATTGGGGAACAGGAAGCTATATTGACTGCTGAAACTGTCATCAGCCCATCATTGGAAATTGATGAGCAAAGAAAAACTAAACCAGATCCGTTAATCCATGTTATCCAGAAGTTAAGCAAGATAGTGGAACATGAGAGGTCACAAAAATGTCTTTTAATTGGGAAAAAACGCCCACGTTCAAGTACTGCACTGCGCTCTCATGAAACTCAAGAACTTTGTGAGATTCCAGCTAAAGTAGCCCAGTTACCTACTACTGATATTAGAAAACCTGAAACGTCACAAACAAATTTTGTCTCTGATTCTCTTGCCCAGAGTGATGGGAAGGCAATGTCCTATCAGTGTAGCCTTTGTAAGTTTCTCTCATCATCTTTCTCTGTGTTAAAAGATCATATCAAGCAGCATGGTCAGCAGAATGAAGTGATACTAATGTGCTCAGAGTGCCATATTACATCTAAAAGTCAAGAGGAACTTGAAGCTCATGTGGTAAATGACCATGAAAATGATGCTAACACTCACACCCAGTCCAAAGGCCAACAGTGCATAAACCCTTCCAGCTCCTTATGTCAGAGAATCATTGAAAGAAATAATGAAACCATTCCTGACATCACAGTAAATGTGGACAGTTCACAAACTCAGACTGTCCAATCTGCATCCATGGCAGAAATGGGTAGGAGGAAATGGTATGCATATGAACAGTATGGCATGTATAGATGCTTGTTTTGTAGCTACACTTGCGGCCAGCAGAGAATGTTGAAAACACATGCTTGGAAACATGCTGGGGAGGTTGATTGCTCATATCCAATATTTGAAAATGAGAATGAACCTCTAGGCTTACTGGATTCTTCGGTGGCTGCTGCACCTAGTGGGGTCGATGCAGTAGTCATTGCTATTGGAGACAATGAGCTGAGTATCCACAATGGACCATCAGTTCAAGTGCAGATTTGCAGCTCAGAGCCATTATCATCATCATCTCCTTTAGAAAAGAGTACAGAAGGGGCACTGCACCTGAGTCAGTCCATTGCCCTTGACCCTAGTGAGGAAGAAGTGCTGGAGGTGATTTCCGATGTGGAAGAGAATCTAAGTGCTGATAGCCTACTTTCATCAGCACAGAAAATCATTAGTAGCAGCCCAAATAAGAAAGGTCACGTTAATGTGATAGTAGAACGTTTACCAAGTGCTGAAGAAAGTCTTTCACAGAAACGGTTCCTCCTGGAGGCTGAAATTGAAGAGGGAAAAAACTTGAGCCCTACCGAAGCCCAGATTGGATGTGAAGGAACAGGTGAAGTTTATCATGCTGATAAATGTACTGTTGATATTGGGGGGTTGATCATAGGCTGGAGCACTCCAGAGAAGAAAGACAGTGATTTAATAAGTCAAGGACTGGCTACTGATGAGAATGCCCCACCAGGCCGAAGAAGGACAAACTCTGAGTCTCTGAGACTGCACTCATTAGCTGCAGAAGCCCTAGTCACAATGCCTATAAGAGCGGCAGAACTAACACGAGCCAACCTTGGGCACTATGGAGACATAAACCTTTTAGATCCAGACACTGGACAAAGGCAAGTAGATGGTACATTGGCAGCATATTCTAAAATGATGTCGCCACTTAAAAACTCTTCAGATGGATTAACTAGTTTTAACCAAAGCAACTCTACCTTGGTAGAGCTCCCAGAAGATAGGCAGGAATTGTCAGATGGGCAAGTTAAGACAGGCATCAGCATGTCCTTACTAACTGTAATTGAAAAATTGAGGGAAAGGACAGATCAAAATGCTTCAGATGACGACATTTTAAAAGAGTTGCAGGACAATGCCCAATGCCAACCCAACAGTGATACGAGTTTGTCAGGAAACAACGTAGTGGAATATATCCCTAACGCTGATCGACCCTACCGCTGTCGTTTATGCCACTACACAAGTGGTAACAAGGGTTATATTAAGCAGCACTTGCGAGTCCATCGTCAGAGACAGCCATATCAGTGTCCTATCTGTGAGCACATAGCTGACAATAGCAAAGCTTTGGAGAGCCACATGATCAACCACTGTAAAACAAGAATATACCAGTGCAAGCAGTGTGAAGAATCTTTCCATTACAAGGTAAGGAGAGCTTCATGAAATCTTACAAAGAACCTTAGAATTTTAGAGCAAGAAGAGAACTTTGTAGATCTAGCCCTACTACCTTATTTTATAGATAAGGAAACTAAGACCCAGAAAAATTTGGTAATCTGCCCAGGGGTTCCCAGCTAATTAGTAGTAGAGCTGCGATTGAAAGCTAGCTCTTGTGGTACAGTGTTCTTTCTACCGCCTGGTGCCTCTTTAACAGCTTCTGCGATTTTTGCTTTTGTATGTACACCTTTTTAAAAATGTGTTGATTTTAAATTATCAGGGAATGTGCAGTGGAGTGATAACATAGACACATTTGACTTGTACAAATTTAACCCTTTATCATCTGGGCAGAAAGAAATTTGCAAAGGGACTATATTGGATGTATTAAAAGATAGTTCCGTAGAAATAGAACCAGGTATACTGTGTTTTATGGGTAAGAGCCTTTCAAGGTTTATTTTAACAGTAATGTGATTCCATCATATGTGCTGACCTTAGAACCAATACCAGTTGGAATACTATTCTTTTGTAAAGGAAACTTGGATTCATCGAATCGTTGGTTTAGAAATTTTCTTCTTCAATATGTCGGTTGACTCTTTGGGAGGAAAAATGTACTCCAGAGGGCTAATTGAGATGTTGACTGTTTCTTCCAATTTATTTAGCATTAGGGTCTAGCTGGTAGTAAGAAGGTAATTAGAAATTAAAAAAAAAAACTTTTTAGTCTAAGATTTACTGCTACTTGGGTCCTGGAATTTCTTTTGTTGCTTCATCGTTTGTTCCTGGGGGCAGAGGTGGAGGAGGGGGGTATTCATAGAGGAGGAGTTCCAAATAAGTCTCTCTTACATATTTAGTTGATAATTCAAAGGGAAAAATTAGGAAGAGTCTTTTGATTACTGATTGGTTTTATTTCTGTGTAAGTGTTGACTTATTCTAAACACTCTTTTCTTTCCTTCTCTGGGTCTTCCAGAGGTTCACTGAGTAGGCACATGCCGTGTGTACTTACCATCAAAGACAGTAGTGGCTTCCTTTTGGAGAATGTAAAGAGAAAGAACTGCCTTTTGATGACATTGTGATTTCCCTAGTATATTTCTTTCTATAACTGTCAAATGTGTTAAATAATCTTTTAGGAGATTGGATTTTAAAATATTGGTAATGTGTTTTAGATACTAGGCCATGAACACAATTAACTCCTTTATATAACCTAGTTACTGGCCGGGTGTATTTACTGAAAATTACATTTAATTGCTTCTAATTTTTCAGAGTCAACTGAGGAATCATGAGAGAGAACAACACTGTCTTCCAGATACTTTGTCAATAGCAACTTGTAATGAGCCAAGAATTTCCAATGATGCAGCTGAAGAAAAATGTGTTCAGGAAGGTATCTGCTTTTTTCCTTCTTTTTTAAATACAGCCTGTACTGACTGGCATTTGAAGTTTAAAAATGCCCTTAATTGTTAAGTGGGTTATTTTCACAATTACAGCTACATATATTCTCATCTGTTTTTATACTGTGGATGTTAGTGTATCTTACCCAGTTCCTGAGGAAATTCCATGTACTAAATCAAGTAAATAATACTAGGCTGTAGGTAAGAAGTACTAGATTAGTAAGTACTCAGCTTCAACTATATAGGTAGTTGTTATAGTTGAAATTTATGCAGTCCCTTAAGAGTCAAACTAGAGCATGAACTCTTAGAAGTTGACATACCAGCAAGCCAGAGCAGCTGCAGAACAGAAAGCAGCCTCCTCTCCCTCTCTCGGTGCCAATTGACCCATTGAAAACACAGCTTTTGCAGATGCTAGGCCCCCACCTCAAATTTTAGTGGAGGCTTCCTGCTGTGATCTTATCCAAGTATGACTGCCAGATTTCATCTGCATTATTTAAAACACACACACACACAAGATCTTTTTATGTGCTAGTTAGGTACCAGTTGGCCAAGTTTCTGGTAATAGGAATATTAGAATGAAAAGATTTAATTAGAGTTCCATGAAAAGGCGGATGCCACATCCGGAGAATTAGGGATAAAGCATAATAGCTATGCTTCTTTCATCAGCTCACTTAAATTGATATACTTTAAATGTCTCAAGTGTGGTATATAGTGTTTATGGGAAATAAAACATATTGGGGTGACATTCCTTTTTAGATTTCCTAAGAATTAAAGTTAGAAACAACTGCAGAGTAAAATGTTTTACCATAATGTTTCATTAAATTATACCCCAGAAAGCATAACTAATTCTAGAGTTTCTGAAAGAACTGATTTTGATACCACTGTAGCACCAAAATTCCCTTGTCAAACAGATGTCATCCCTGTAAAACTATCCAAAACAAAAGGAGTTTATGACATAGCATCTGTTTCTGCGATAGATGACTGAGCTAAAAGAGGTTTGTTTCCTTTTTTACAAAATAGCCCTAAATGCCTCCTTTTATTTTAATTCATTATGTTTCCATATTCCCTTTTAAAGGAGACATTAAAACATTTGATGTGATTGAACCATAAATTCCTAATGAAGAAATAAAGTACTACTGAGTGGCACCACCTGCAGTTAATACAGATTTGTAATATGTCTTTTCTAGCACCATCTTGAAAAACAGTATTTTAAAACTGCCCAGTTGGGCTAATAGGTGAAAACTCTTCATTTTAGTTCATATTTTCAACAAAAAGATTAAAATACCAACTCAAAATGAAAATGGCCAGTTCAAACTTTGTAGCATCTATCTACCATATTCCATTTTGCGACATCTTTTCTTTGTGGAACATACTCTTTTTCTTAGTGTAAAATGAATGTATAGATTTAAATTACTTGGTACACAGCCCCTTCATCCCCAAGTTGGCTCCATTTGCTTTCTGTGTCTCAGAAGTATAACAATTCAGGTGACTGATACCTTCTTGCATGCTTACACCTAATAAAACTGTTGTTTGTTGCCGTGGAGTTGATTCCAGCTCACGGTGACTGCATGTGTGCAGAGTAGACCTGCTCTTTAGGGTTTTCAAGGCTGTGACCTTTCGGGAGCAGGCCTGTCTTCTGGGGCACCTCTGGGTGGGTTCATACTGCCAGTCTTTTGGCTAGTAGTCAAGCACTTAACCATTTGTATCACCTAAGCCTCTCTATAGAGTATTGGTACTTTATTTAATTCACTATTAGATATTTGAAAATCTGGTGGTTAGGTAAAAACAGAAGGTAAAAATAATTCATGGTTTGTTAAAACATCTTTAACCGTTTAGTAAACTGATTAAATAAAAGGGGAGATTTGAGTCTCTGTGATAGCCACTCTCTGCCCATTATGATAGCACAGATAACCTAAGGCATGTTTTAGCTTCTTAAGTCCTTTGTAAAATTTGGCTTCAGGCATTGGTTCAAGCAAAATGTGTGGTGTCCCTATCTTATGCTGGGCACTGCACTAGGTGCTGGGAGTACATTGAAGGCATCACTGTCCTTGAGGAACCCAGCCTAGTAAAGAAGACAGAACTAACTTTATGTCAGCCAGCACCACAAATGCTCTATTAGAGCTGAGGGCAGAGCACTTTCATACAGTGTTTCTTCATGACATTTAATTAAATCATTCTTCGTTGGAAACCTACAATTTGCCAAGCCTTGGGGATTTACTATAAGCAAAACAGGCAGATCCCTGCCCTCAGGGCATCTACAGTTAGTGAGAGGGCCCAGACTTTACAAACATTCAGGTAATGTACAGACAATGAAGGAAATGCAATGAAGGAAAAATGCATAGTACTAGACTGTTACATGAGGTTCTGGAATTTCCATTTCATAGCTGAGGAAATTATTTGCCCATGATGATACTAGTTGTAAGTGGCAGAACAAGGACTAAACCCAAGTTTTTGAACTTCAAATTCAATATTCTTTCCATTGGAAACAGTTGCTTAAAGTAGCACAGCCTCTCATTCTGTGCTATATTAAGTTTTTCCATCTGTCATTTTTATTAGTTGTCATTGATCTGTAATATTTCGCACACAAAACCATTATCCAGTATTTCACACTTCATTTTTTCAGAGTTTTTAAAAAATTGTATTTGGAACCATGCCACTTATAATCAAGTCCAAGTTTTTAACCTACCAATTAAGAGCAATACTTATATTATAATTATGATTAGTGTATATTTTAATGTTATAGGTTTATACCAGGAAATTAGGACATTTTGTTCTGCCTGGCAGTAGTTATTAGCAGAAGAAAATTTCAATTTTAGAAAGCTTAAATTTAACTTAAGTATTTCTTTGTTTCATTGAAGTTCAGTGTGCATTTTCTTTTGTACCACCAATTTTACTTGTATGCATAGTCTTCTCCCCAACCTTTCTTCTTGTCAGAGGTACACATAGCTCTCCCTCCGTTGTGGCTTATTGGTGAGCTTCGTTGCTTGCTCTGTTTCTGACTGTAAGGTAGCCAGGGTGTGAATAGCCTGTGGACTTTATGCTATTAGAAGAGTAAATAAAGCTTTGAATAGCTATAGCTTCATGAAGCAGTGTCGTATGATCAAGTCACTCATCCTGTATTGTCACAACCTTGCCCTGATTTGACTGTCCCAGCCTTATTGTTACAAAGTGAGTTTAGTAACATGGCCTGTTCCCATTGGATTCATGTTTCTTGGATTTCAGAGAGCTGCATATTCACATTCACATGACCTTTGTCCTTGTTACCTGTCAGTTTATTAGATATGATTATAGTATATTATGTAGCATTTAATTTGCAGTTGACTTTCCTTCCAAGGTTGCATTGATAGCTTGGCATTTATTTATAAAAAAAGGAAACCCACAGGGTGAAAAAGCTTTAGGCTTTTTATGTAGAGCTTGTTATATATGATTTGTAGTCACAGTTTATAATAATTGGATTACAGTATCAAATTACAGCTTGTTGGGAAATCAGTATTTTTAAACACAGTATATTAAATATTGATTAGACTAAAACCATCCAGATCAACAGTGAATCTGGTTAAATTAGCTACTACATAGTCAACAGGACAGCTAGGGCAAAGTTCATTATGGTTTTTGAATTTTGTACAAGGTTCTACAGAAACCAGCCTAACCAGTTTATGTTTACGAATCCGACAGTATTCCATTTGTATCTGCTGATAGTCCAGATGTAGGAGAACCTGTAAACCCACATTCAAACTCATTAACTTTAAGTAGTAAGAAAGCCTTGATTTAAGTGTTAATATTGTGTGGTATAAATATTCATTTACAATGGAATGTAAATGCTGTCATTTGAATCTTACCATAGCATGCTGCTAAAACTCTGAAATACCTTGTCTAGGGAATAAGTCTTCAGTCCAGAAACAGTATAGATGTGATGTGTGTGATTATACAAGTACAACATATGTTGGTGTCAGAAACCACAGACGAATCCATAACTCTGATAAGCCATACAGGTAAGTGTGATGATCCTAGAGTTTCAATGCTTGTATTAAAATATTTTATTTTATAGTAGAGAAAAAAAGTAGAAATAATTAAAAATTCATAACACTTGTTTAAACACAGGTTAAGGAGCCAAGAAACTTTCACTTACTGATTTCATGAGTAGTTTGTTAAGGAGTATAAACTTGAAACTTGAGTCTTAGGACAATAAGTGTTTTATCGAGTTGAAAGATAGGAAGATGTCTATATCTGTGAGTTTCATATTTTCGGTTTCATTTGGGTATAAATTTTCATAGCAATTTTCAGTTTTTGCAGAATGTTTCAGTAATTTGGTGACTTAGGTACTCAAGTTTCCCAGCAAAAGATCCTTAAAAGGTAAAAGCAACAAATTTTCCTATGAAAGATTACATTTTGAAAAGTAAGCTGTCATGTGTAAGATCATTTAATTTTGGTACTTGATTTTTTCACAGAAGTTGCTTCCAATATGTATTTTTAAAAAACAGGCATTCATAGTTGATCAATACAGGCTGATAAACAGAAATCATTATTTCCTAAACTTTCTCCCTTGGGAGTAAACTGTTTGTTGTTTATGTATAGTAAAAGTGCAGACATTTTTGCAGACAGTTTGTGCAGCTGTCACAGAGCAGTTTGTCCTACTTGCAGCCTTAGTGGAACATTAGGTAGGTTCCCACATAAAGCTAGCAATGGAGATGAGCTCTTTTAATCCCCTGTCAAACCTTCTTTCACATTTTAAATCTCACACAGGTGAATGTGGGAAAGTAAACGTATTAATATCAAAATGAAAACTAACCTGCAGTTTTCCTATTTAAAATATGCTTAATTTACTAACTTGTAGACTTATCATCACTTTAGGTAGTACATCTGTTTGCAAAGTCTTGTAACTCTCTTGAAAGTGTTTTTCCTTGCCTCAGTGTCTCTATCATTGTAACAGATATTTTCAAATTAAGATCCCTAGGAAATACTTTTTCCCTAGAGTCTATTATTAACCATTATCAACAGTAACTCAGCGCCATAAACTCTAGATAAGAAGTGGTAAAATGGTATTGAACATGATTTACCCTAGGAAATGTTTAGGGGATCGTGGTGGAAATGGGACACTGGTTTACCTAATAGGAGGAGAAAGCTTTGCCTTTGTATTTTTTATTTTCTCCTTGAATTTAGTGGCATACCATGCCAAAGTCATGTGATCCAGGCATGAGTAAAATACCGTTCTCTGGATTCTGGAGTTATTCTATTCATTCATTCATTGAAAAATTTATTGAGCAAGCATTATGTTCCTGGAGCTAGGCTCTTGGGTTATTATCATCATAACAAAAAGGTTTTAGCCCTGCCATCATGGAGCTTGTAAACAAACAATAAACAAGTAAACTCACAAGTATGTAATTATGATAATTTATGAAAGATGTTAATGATGGATTCTAGTTCTCTGGAGGAAGTTGATTTCCTTTTGAATTGGGTTTTCTTGCCAGTATTTATCAAACAAACGTTTATCTTCTTGGTGTCTTTTAAAAAAAAAAAAAACCTCATTGCCATCTAGTCGATTCCGACTCATAGCGACCCCCCATTGGGTTTCCGACGTGGTAAACCTTTATGGAAGTAGATTGTCCAGTCTTCCTCCCATGGAGTGGCTGGTGGGTTTGAATTGCCAACCTTCTGTTTAGTAGTCAGATGCCTTAGGCATTACACCACCAGAGCTTATACCTTCTTAAAATATTCATAGATTCATAGGCTTGGTGGTGGTTTTTGAATCTTCCTAACATCAGACAACATCCTGTGATAATCTTCTCCTTATAACAGCAGAAAAGTCTCAATGTTATTTTCCAGAGTTATTCACAGTATGTGTCACTAGTTCTGGCCTGAGTATTTATGTCTTAGAAAAAATACTGTAATATCGTCCCCTTTTTTCTCAGAAGTATTATTTTCACCTTTTTAATCTTATGACTCTCCTGTTAACCTTATTTAAATACTTCACAGCTTCCTTTGTCTTCATGGGATTAGCAGCCTGCAGAGCATATGGAGTAAATGTTCCACTTCATGATGTTTCTAGAACTTTCTCTTCATTGTCTTAAGATGAGCTAGTAAACATAGTCTTCTTGATGTTTGGTTTAATCAAGTTGTATTCATTTTTCTGGCTTATTTCATATCTTCTGCATTCAATTTTGTTGTCTGGCATACTTAGGGTTAGGGTTTGGGGCTTGTTGACTCAGAATGCATACCGCACTTCCTTCTGATTCCCCACTTTTTTGTTAAAAAAAAACAACAAAATATGCTTACAAGTAGCAAAGGTGAGTTTCTTACAGTACAAGAGTACCTCGTGCACAACTTCTAAAGTCTTTTTGCACAGGAGCACAAAATGTTCATTGGGTATTTCAACATGCCTATTAAATATATTTTCTGCAATAGAGATACCTGTTCCTTTCCCTTGCCTTTGCTTTTTTGTTGTTGTTGTTGCTGTTTCAACCCTTGACCTTTTTATGTGGTCTAAGTAGTACAGCTCCAGGTATAAGAGCCTTGGCTCTGGAGGCACATAGTGCTGGGATTAAATCTGAACTCTCTCACTTGGGGGATTTCTGACAGATATTTTGCCAAATGTTTCAGTTCTGTATGCTTGGTTTTGTTATTTACACAATGAGGATAATGAAAATGCTATAGCAGAATGCTATTAGGTTCAATTCTGAACTCCATTTTAAAAATTTCAATAGAGTAAGTTTCTAATGCATAATAAGCACCTAGTAAATGACAGTTGCCTAATAGTTATTGAGTGCAGTTTGTGCCCTCATCCTTTCTCAATGATTTGTATCAACGTGATTTAGAAGGGAAAAAAAAGGTTTGGGCAGGGGATGTCCAGGCTTGACCTCTTGTTGTTTGGGAAACAAAGAAAAGTAAAGTAACTTGTTCCTGGGCAGGCAGGCAGGCATAGCTTATTTTTTAAAAGAGATGCTGGGCCCAGGCAGAAATACACTATCACTGCTGAGTTCTCCATGCCTGCGTCAGGCTGCTTTGGAGGCAACCCATTGTTCTAGAAAGCACCTACATTTTAGATTCCCAGGCCTAGGCCACATACTTCTTCTCCCTAACTGGATGATTATGGGAACATTATTCCTGGCCAAATCTCCTTTTTCTATATGAAATTGGAGAAAGTACTACTCAGCTCATAAGGCTTTGTGAGGATTAAATTAAGTTTATAAAGCATCCAGCATGTTACCAGGTATATATTGAAGGGGATGGTTCCCTTCTCCACTCTTGAAGTCTTGAGGTCATCTCAGAAATCCTGTCCTCACTGCAGAAGGAAGAGAGCTGTTTTCCATCCGTATACAAGAACAGAGAAAGATGAAATGGCATCATCTTATCCCAATCCCTACCAAATGAAGCAAACTTTGTTTTTAGTCCTTTGTTAAGTGACATTCTATGTCAATCACATATCAGTGACAGTTGTAACTGCTATTTGTAACATCGACCCCAAATTTACTGAAAGGTTCCATATAGAATTTACAAATACTAGATTGTCCTCAGTTTACTTGAATGTCACAGAACTAGAATTGCCCTGATTTATATCTCCCAGCATCAGTTGTATAAATATTTGGCTAGAGATGAAAGGTGGAAGAACAAAACGTTTTCAGACCCTTCTGACCGTATGACATTGAGCCCATTAGAAACACAATTATATTAATTTCCACACTGTGCCATGGTGAGGGGACAACATGATGTAGAGGGAATTACACGGGTTTTGGACTAAATACTTGGCACACTGCCTGTAACTATTAACTGTAGTTATCTATATACCTTAGTTTTTTTCAACTATAAACTGGTTCTGATTCTGAGTTTTACTATATTTTGAAAATAAGTGCATAGTAGTATTATTTTGCCATGTCTTCCTTAAGTAGAAGAGTTACTTAAATATGTTGAATTTTTTAATAACCAGTGTAGTTTCAGTGTTCAGCCCCAAAATACCTGACTTTGTCCTAAATATTTAAAGAATGTACTTTTTAGAGCTAGTTTATTCATATTAGGTGCCATACTAGGTCCAAACATTGCATTTGATTGATGTCTCTCTGTCTCTTTAAATTTTTAAAACTGAAGTTCATTGTGAAAATTACACAAATCCTAACTGTACAGCTTGATAAATGATCACAAATTAAACTCACCTTTGTAACTTCTGCTCACTTGCCAATTTCTCAACAACACTCCTGTCTTACAGCTTCTAGTCCCTATCTCCCTTCCCCTGAAGGTAATCACTGTCCTGACCTCTAATGTCACAAATTTGTTTTGTCTGTTTTTGAACTTAATACATTCTTTTATGTCTGGCTTATTTGCACCGAACAGAACTGTGTGTGTGTGTGTGTGTGTGTGTGTGTGTGATTTGGGTGAAAATTTACAGAGCAAACTCACTTTCCGTACAGCACTTCACATACACTTTGTCTCATGACATCGACCACAATTTACCACAATGCAGCAGCTCCCCTCCTACTTCCTCCTGATAGTTACCTCTTCCTTGTGTCCGTCATTCCATGCACTCCTGCCCCCTGAGCTGTCTCCCTGTGCATAAGCAGCCCTTCTTTCTCCCATGGTTGTTCTCTCCAAGGAGTGTGTCTACCTCAGATAAATGTTCAACTCATATGCCTGTCTATTGTTTGGTTGGAAGCCACAGGTGTGGGTTCAGTTGCAGACCTGAAGGGCAGCTGGAGGCCATAGTCTTAGTGGTTCCACCAGGCTGCACTGAACAGAATTTTATGTGTGTGTGTATATGTATATATATTTATACATATGTCTGTGTGTAATGCATAAATAATTGTTCAGTGTGGCAGTAATGCATTCTTTTTGTTGCTATACAGTATTACATTGTAAAACTATGATAGTGTTATTAATTCTATTGATGGACATTGGGTTAATGACAACTTTTTTTCCTATTATGAATACCATTTTAAAGATTCCTTAAGTAAGTGTGTTTATACCTAGGAGTGGAAAATCTGGGTAATTGGGCATGCATGTGTTC